TGCCACTACTCTTCGCTGGGGGATGCTGTACATGATGGCACACCCAGAAATACAGAGACGAGTCCAGAAGGAGTTGGATGACGTCACAAGTCGTAATCGTCTGCCAAGACTTTCTGATAAGCCCGAGCTGCCGTACACCGAAGCCGTGCTGTGTGAGATTCAACGCATCGGAACCATCGTGCCATTGGCCGTGCCACATATGACCGCTGAAGATACCACTATCGCGGGGTGAGTAAACAGAGGAACAGTAACCATACCACGCGGTGTATAATTATAATACGCCACGAGATGAAACCAAGGACATCACTGGAACACAGCATACCTCAAGTCTGCTGAATTTACAAGACAAAGGTAATATTCACGTTTTAATTCATAATTAAAATTACGTTAACAGAACTCAGTTCACCTCTAAACCTCTGAACTTTCGTATAACTTTCATACGCAAGATACAGTTTTCAAATTTCGAAAAGATATCTAGAATAGTTAGTCAGTTACCAAAGTTAGAGACCTGGGGTGAAAAACGCTAATCCCCTGTGACATATAACATTATTTGGGTTTAACCCACTTTAAAATACAAAGCTATAGGCAGCAGCAAGACAATCAGAGCAAGGGAAAGACACAATCTGTAAGCTACACTCCGACTAGTAATTATTCAGAAACCTGATGGTGTAAATCTGTACTGGGTCGAGGGCATGGGGGATGACTTACCTTCCTTAATCTCAGCTCAAAACTCCATATTTAAACCTGTACAGTACTTTCTTCCTTTTGTCCGTACCACTGAACACGTTTCGGTTGTTGGGAAGTTCGAAAATACCTCCAATTCCCGGCTTTTTTCGCCAGGGGAAATTGAGTCGCCACGAAAAAGTGCGGGGGGGGGCTGATCCAAAAGTAGGCATATCCCCTGGAAAAAACGTGGAAAAATATATAGGTCTCCCCTCATCCCCAGAATTTACATACCTGCAGTAACAATGGACCTGGGGAGGCCATGCGTATTATGTACATTTCTTGAGTGTGCTAGGAGTAGACCTTCCGTTGCCATCATTGTTGTCACAATCCCCACCCGCACTCCTTTCGCAGTAAGTCCCGCCTGTGCAAATTGCTGTTTTCTCATGGACTACAGATATACCAAGGGTTATATCTGTAGTATATTCTGTTAACAGGTACAACATTCCCAAGGGTACAATTGTGATGTCTAACATCTGGCATAACCACTTTGACCCTTTGGTATGGGAAGAGCCTGAGAAGTTTAGTCCCGAGCGATTCCTTGAAAAAGATGGCACGTTTCGACCCCGTGAAGAACTCATACCGTTTGGAATCGGTACGTATTCTTTCAATACCGGTTTTGGTTAATTTGTAACTTTGCACCGCTTTGCATATTAACTTGCACAAGTTTTAAACTAATTTTGATTATATAAAGTAGACCAAAATTGAATGCAAGACATTCAAGTCTGCCTGAATATAGTTGTAAACAGTAAAATTTGTTCTACGATCGATAATGACACTGTTGTAATTATTTGCAAACAGCTGTGGCATTTCACCATTTTGCACTGACGGAAATCGCAGTCGTAGTCTCCGATTTGACGTCATGTCAAAAATGGCAGACGACAAAGGACTTTGGGAGATTTGGGGGAAGTATAGAATGAAAAGGGCCTTTGAACCACAAAAATATGTCTGTTTTTGTGAAAATAAACTACATTTGAGAACTTAAAAATCAGGTTATTGTTTGAATTTACCATTTCAAACTCTTACGTTATGCTCTGTATAGTTTGTCCTTTATCAAACTTACAGATGGTGCGAAATTTGAAAGCAATGAGTCGCCTTGAATTATGCCTCCATAATGTAACCAAAGTTATCCATTTTTAAAAAAAGATTACAGCTCTTTGCACTTTGTACACTGTACAGGTCGACGCATCTGTTTGGGTGAGCACCTTGCCAAGATGGAGCTCTTCATCTTCTTCACACACTTACTGCATCACTTCACCCTCAAGAAACCTGACCATGTTCCTGCAGTGTCTATGGAAGGAAAAGAAGGTCTTGTTTGGTCACCAGCAAGCTTCGAGGTCTGCGCAGTTACCAGGGAGTGAACCAAGACACTGTAAATTCTTCACGTATAGTGATCTGCACCACTTGCTCTTGTTTGTAGAAATTGACTAACTGACCGGTCTTTTTGAATATCAGTTTAATTCTGTGCACATGTTGGGGCTTGAGATAATAATGTAAAAGAACAAGACATTAGTACCGTGATAGAAAAGTATGCGAATATAGTACAACGGTATATGGCTTGGGTGTTGCATAAGTTACATTATTTCTTTAATTCCAAAGCGCCTGTAAAATTCCAAGGAAATATTGCCCCTGTGTATATGCCTATACTTAAATATAATTACTGTTACATTCTTCAATTATATACAGTAGCGCAGTGGAGGTGTACTTAGTCGTACATTGTTCAGCAATGGAGATTGTATAACCAAATTCGGGACTTAGTAATGGCACAAGGACATGGTGTTTCCATTTTGCAACTGGCATTACGCGCCTGGCCTGAATCCAACACGTACAAAGAAGTTTGTTGAATTTAGCTACATCTGTTATAATGAAATCAATTCTTATTGTGTAGCTTATAGTACTGTGTTTGCTGTGCGCCAATGCCAGTTTAACCTGAAGTATCCTGTAAAGCACACATTTTGCGATACCTCATCTTAATGAAAACACACAGATGCATGATAGGAAAACACATGAACAGTTGTTGAACATGATCGATACAGAGTCGATGGAAAAACATATAATTGTCTCTTACGTGATTCAATCATTAAAATGCTTATAATTATTACAAAGGACAATATACAAAACCCGCCAGTTTGGCATCCCATTGGAAAGTACGCAGTGTTTCCGTAGAAAACATGTATCAGAGCCGACAAACAGTGCCTACTGAAATAACCATCTGTGAGACCATCTAGTTTTGTGTAGTGTTTTGTGATAATCTTCGATACTTCATAGCTTTTGTAGACAGGTAGCAATAGATAGATGCTTTACCAAACTACAGCTAAACTGGCAATTGACATTCAAACACCTAATAAAAAAGGCGTTTATATGTAAAAACGGGAAAAAAGGTAAAACGGTTTGTAGTTTCCAAGATCTCATACATGTACTTTTATATGCTAATTGTAACTTTTGTTCTGTTTACATCATATGTTTGACCTTAGATAGATGTGCATGTGACCTTAGATACGTTTACCTTAGATACTCTGCGCTCGCAGTAGTGAGATTTTCATACGGAGCGCGCTACCACAAAGGATTATGGGGCGAATATTACGTGCAAGACAGGCGATCATAAAGTGCGACGATCTGAAACTGTCTTTTACCTAATCCTAAACGAAAGCCTGAGTGAATGTAATTTTATAAGTCTACCTGGATAAAACAACTCTGAAAGCAAAATTGTATCATTTCCGCCATCAAGATGTTCGTTTGAGAAACTGTTTTAGTAAATACGTTCATCGCTGTGATAGATCTGGAATGAACTGGACGTGTGGTCATCAGTTTGCATTAAAGTCAAGACTTAAGTGGCAGAACTGTGAGTTATTACTGGGCATTTAGGGAGTCGAGTATCAAGACTAGATAGACCTCGGGATTGAAATAAATGATTAACTGTGGACATAATACGGTTAAAATGTTTTACCCTAATTTTCATTGTTCTTCCTAACTTCCTTCAAACAACATTTTTGAATCTTTAGAGACGCTAAAGTTCACTAGCCTTTTTAAAAAATCATTGTCTGTCTTTAATTATGTGAAATTGCGGGTCGCTGGGTCAACTGGAGGGTCATTTTCCAATGCACATGGCCGCAATGTTATTTCTGTCCAAATTCTGGAACCAACATAGAGTTAAGCATTTGAAGAAGCTAGTCCACCTTCTATACATACAACGCAGAGACGTACATGTTTAGGACCTGAAACAGGGATATTCTTTCGCCAATACATGTGCACAGGTAGGGGAAATCGACGTTATCAATTTGAATCACGTTTAAAGTTTAAAGGGGGTAGATTCTTTATGAAAATTGAAGGAGTGTTAAAATGAGAGTATGCTCTTCAGTTTCTAGAGCCATCGTCCTTTCCCGAGTCTTACTAAGAGATATTAATGGACGGATTAACGCACCCAAGTCTGGTAGTACCGATCGACATGGGTGCACTATTTTGTCCCTTTTTCGAGAAGGAGAGGTAATTTCGTAATTTCTAATACAGCGTGACGTGTCAGTTTGTTGACTGGATGAGGCCGAGTTCGTAAAGTTCATAGGGGTTCATTAACCAAAGGTAGACGCGTTTGCAGTAGAGCCTTTAAGTTAACCCCGCGATGGCGCGCTTCCGGAACCCTTGGATAGGAACGTGCATTTTTTGAAGAATATGTGATCGTTTTTCGTTCAGCTATTTCTTTACAAATCCACATTGGAAAAAGACCTATGGAAAATATTTGCTAGCATATTAGTTTATAGTAACTGAAAATTTACCTGATCTGAAAGAGAACCGTATATCCTGCCGTTTGCCCCATCACTTTCGCATATTTAAAATGCATAAAGAACAGTGCAATTCGGCGGTCTCAAACACAGATGAACTTTACGGAATAAAACTTTATCGGTAAAAGCCAACATAAAAACAGATCAAAATATTTTATGGTAGATTTTTGAATTAATAAGGAAATCAACTTACAGGCAAAATCTACTTTTACAAAACATTCTTATTTTATCTAACCTTTGCTAACAAGAACTGCGTTATGTCATCTTAACAGAGTCTGGAACCCATCGACTGCCGATTTGTAACTTTGCAACGTTAATGCAATCTCGTTTTTACGTGAAAACAAACGTGCATAAACAAGGCGACCGAGTAACCTTAAAGAACCCCATGCGCGCCTTCTTTGGTTTCGAATCAACTTCTGCTACCGGTCAGGGCGCCCTCCCCAGTCTTTATTGAACAAAAACAACTCCCTTCCTGCCCCAACCACGTGACCTTTGACCTCTTCGGCTTGTTTTGTTTGTGACAGTGCTTCACGTTAGTGTGAAAAATTCGGGCCAAAAGAGCTCTTTTTACTGGTCCGTTTTTCGTTGTAAGTAATATCTTTCATTTCTTCAGTCAGCCTTTTCAAAGGCTTCTGTGTGTACTTAGTAGTTATAGAAATTTAGCCTCAGATTGTCAATACTTGTGAACGGCAGAACGGGACATGCATGTTGAACCATGGAGGTATTCTACCTGCATGGTTGAACCAACAAGTCAGCAGCCTGAGGCAGTTGTGTGTCAACCGAGGTCATGCTCCCGGGTGCACTGAACTACACTGTTCATGTAATTCAAGTTCCATTGAAAACAGTGTAAAATCAACAAAGTTCAGAGCCAAATTGCCGGCAACCAAAGTCCCTGAGGCCTCGCAAACAAAAACCAATGTGTTGTTTGGTCCTTCACTCAGATTTCAATTGATTTTAGAATTTTAGCAGGCCTAGGTTAACCAATTAATGTTTTTCGTTATCTGCCAAAAACAAACTCACACCTGAAAAGTGAGCATTCCCAAGTCTCCTGAGAAGCCATTTTTCAAATGACATCCCTGAACTTTTTCAGGCTCTTCTGACAATCTGCCAAAGACAATTTAAAATTGTTAGTTTGTCTGCTTTGCCCCCAGATGGGATCCCCAGAATCTATCAAGATGATCCTGGGCCAAAATCTCACAATTTCTTGACCCACACAGACTCCTCTTTTCAAAAGAATTTGTAGAGGTACCTTTTAAGCACGTTGGCCTGGTTGAGAATTTTCCTTGAATATTGACAGTGCTCCCTCTTCTTTGAGGGACCGGGATGATCTTGCAGACCTGTATAGTTCGCGCTTCCCCTTAGGGCCCGGATGTACGCTACTAATTCAAGTAAGAATTTCTGGCCAGCTCATTAAAATTAAAATGCCCCCACAGTATGTTTGAAAAAGGAGATTGTTTGGCCCCCAAAAAAGTGAGATTGTGTAAATTCTTGCCAGGATCAACTCACCAGGTCCTAGGCTTTAATCTGAGAGTAGAACGATTCAAAAATACTGTTGAAAAATGGCCCTAAGTGCCCGAGAAAGGTGAAGGTTGCCAGTTGAAAAATGGCTGCAATCAGACTTCAGAACAATTACTTTTTGGGGGGTGATTTTGTTTTGTGGGAATAATTAAAAATGTAATTGATTAACCGACAAAAAAATTTAAGAGAAACAAAGGATTAGGGACCAGACAATAATTTAAGCTGTATTTCATAATTTATAAAAATTGAAGTTATGTTTCAGAAACTTCAAGGATGTTGGTATGCATGTCATTGGGTCCTGAACAGTGCTGATTTTACACTGTTTTCAATGGGGCTTGAATAAGTCACGGTAGACTTTACCCCATATTTTGAAATAGCGGCGTCCATGCAATACTTGCAACTGAATATCGTTCCTCTTGTTTACAATAGCGCTAGCAGTGGTGGAAAGACCACAACAAACCAATAGCAGTTTTATGGATTATGAGACAAGAGAAATATTAGATTGTTGGCACAATAAATACCAAAGTAACATGAGAATTATATGTGGTGTACATGTATATAAACCATGTAACTTTGTCATTGTACATGTATGTGTCAGGTTCGAGATATTTTTTTAACAGGATAGACTGAATGAAGCCTAGGAAAGATAGATTCCAGCTGGCTTTAACCCTAACACAGCTTAACCCTAGCAGAGGCCAAGCCTAATGGAGGCTAACCCTAACAGAGGCCAGCCCTAACGATGGGGGGGGGTGCTCCGGTTCAATCTTTGATGGTCAAGTACAGATCGGACACACCAAGCCGTGGATATGCACAGGTGACTGAAAGTTCTCAAAACCCTCCCTGGGTGATTTGTTCCACTTGTGTGTTTTGAAGTTCCCTATTTTATCCTCATGTTTTCAACTGTTGTGCAGGAGACGTTAACTGGAGTAATATCTACCGGTACGATGAGCTTTCATGTCAAAGCAATGGCCAAAGATGTATGTTTTTCGTGCTCTTGGCCACTGTAGTTTGCAGTGTCTAGCCGGATTAACCCTCCCCATTATCAGAAGGAACAGCTTGTTGAAGCTGCTCATGTGGAAAAGTGTATTTTTCAGATGCTGACTGCACATTGTGTTTGCACTAGTAGTCGGTGTATGTAGGCATTCTGTACACATTGTGCACATTTCTGACCTTGAGCATTTTCCCCCATATACAACCATTGGATGAATGTTTTTTAATCTTTTCTCTGCAATTGAGATTTTTTTTCAACCATTCATTGATGTCAGGCAGTGAAAAATGGGTATAAATAAATGTTGCAGTCTACTAATTAAAATGAGAATTTCTGGCCAGTTCATTAGCATTGAAAGCGCCCCACAGTATCTTTTGAAAAAGGAGATTGTTTGGCCCAAAAATGATTTTGTGACTCTTTGCCAGGATCAAGTCCTTCGGTCTTTGGGCTTTCACCTGAGAGCAGAATGGCCAAAAAATATGGTTGAAAAATGGCCTTAAGTGCCCGAGAACGTTGAGGGTTGTCACTTGAAAAATTGCTGCCATCAGACTTCGGAAAAATTACTTTTTGGGGGGTGATTTTGTTTTGTGGGAATAATTAAAAATGTAATTGGTTAACCCACAACAAATCGAAAAGAAATTGAAAGATTAGGGACCAGACAATAATCTAAGTTGTATTTCAGAAACCACAGGGATATTGGTATGCATGTTGTTGGGCCCTGAACAGTGCTGATTTTACACTGTCTTCAATGGGGCTTGAATTAGTAGACTTTACTCGTAGATCGGACAGCGATCCAGGGCCAAATTAACGCCTCCCTTTACGTGCCCGTGACCGGCAGCAGGGAAGGATGCCTCTCCAAACTGTATAGTCTCCAGACCCCCCCCCCAACAAACAGGGGTGTTCACCCCAACAGATGGCGATTCTGAATAAGATGCAGCAGACCCACACAGCCTTATTCAAGGGCTTGCTGGAGAAAGCCTTCTATAAGATAAAAGGGCTTCTTATCCTTGACGCCCAATTCCTAGAACCCGTAGGGGATCCCCATGAAGGAGTCCAAGGGGCCTTATTTTATCAATCAGTGTTAGATTTGTGGCAAGAGCAACGAACCAGTACGTTTGATCAGACCAATAAAGATGAGCTACTGGGGCCTCACTCCAGATATGTCACTGGAGAAGTACTTCAATGCTCCAGACATGCCAAAACCGATTCAAGTCACAGTGAAAAAATCTAAGGTGGATGCTTGGAAGATTGGTAACCCGATGTGGCCGATCCAGGAAAACTATTTCAAGGCGACTGTGTGTCTCATCAAGGCCATAGAGGTGAACTAGAAAATACAGAACAAGGAATTAAAGCCCCCAGTAACTTCGGCAAGTAGTTTACTGGGATCAGCTATTCATCACCTTTCGCTTTATAGGCTGTGTCAAGCTAAACCCTTTTAAAAAGAAGGCTATCTTTAAGATGTCCTGCCTTCGATGTTCTGTTTGTATGGTGAGGAATGGACCCAAAATGTGGATGAAGAAGAAAAGATCCACAAGGCCATTCAAAAGGTGGTGACGATTTCTTCCAAGGAAGCCTCATCATCCTCTAAGATGGAACCCAAAGTTACAAGCGCAGGCTGATATGCCACTTCCTAGAGCATGGAGAGACAAGGACAGTCACAAGTATAAGACACAGTACCAGTCTAGCAGGTACCGACCACACACCCATCATTACGGTTCAAGTGGTCTTGATGGGTCTCAGATGCGGGGGGGGGGCGGATGAGGAAGGCTCCTTTCGTGGAGAAAAGAAGCCACAGGAAAGTTGGCGAAAAACTAGGTCAAAAGAGAGGAGAACTCGATTCTGTATTGAACTGTCGGATTTGTTATGCAGGGAATATCCGAAATCACCTTTCAGAATGAGAGAAGCTGACAGACGATCCGTGGATATTGCAGAGGGTACAGTAGTTGGATACAGAATCGAATTCTTCCAAGTTCTAGTTCAGCACAGAGTGCTAACACTGATCAAAATATGCAGTCGGCATCAAATCTATACTAAAGAAATTCAGGAAATGATCCACAAAGGGGCAGTAATCAGGGAAGAAAATACTTCAGGTCCATTCATATATACGATTTTGTCGTTCAGAAAGCCACACAGAGTTTCCGGCCAGTGTTCAATCTCAAAAGGCTCAACAAGTGCATCAAGTCGGAACACTTCGAAATGAAATCAATCCAACAGGTGAAAAGTCTGGTGAAGTAAGGATGTCTTATGGTAACAATCGATGTGAAGGATGCTTACTGCATGATTCCAATATATGTCACACACAGGAAATTTCTACGTTTCAGTTGGGACAACGAAGTTTAAATTCCAGGTGGTGCCCTCCGGTCTGAAATCGGCCCCTGATCGGCTGTGCACAAAGTTGATGAAGCCAGTAGTGTCCCATCTCAGACACAGGTCAATGAAAGTGGTGATTTACCTCGACGATCATCTGTTGATTTCACAATCAAGGGGAGAGTGCGACGATCAAGTGACTTATATTCTAAATCTATTAAAGGGTCTCGGACTAATTATAAATTGGGAGAAATCCCAACTCTCTCCAACCCGCCAGATTAAGTTTCTGGGTCACATTGTAGATTCCCAGAAAATAAGGTTGAGTCTACCAGGACCGGAAATCGATTCTTTGTGGAATTATGCACCCTGATGACCAACACGCCAACGCAACTGGCAGGAACCCTGACAAGCCTTATTGGGAAAATGAATGCTACAGCAGAAGATGTACCGGCGCCAGTATTTTTCAGGGCCTTGCAAGCAGACCTCATTTAGTCGGTCCGGGTAGACCCAGCTTATCAGACTTTGATTTCTTTGTCACAGGACAGTCTCCAAGAGTTGCTATGGTGGCAACACTGTCTCAGAAAATGGAACGACAAGCCACTTGTTTTGCTACATCCACAGCTGACTATACCATCAGATGCCTCAACGCAGGGCTTGGGGGCTCATTTACCAACTTGGCAAAACAGGGGGACGATGGACACCAGTTGCGTCCAATAGCCATATCAATTATCTAGAGCTCCTACCTTCTTTTCTGGCCTTACAGACCATTTCTAAGGACAAGAATAATTGTCACATGTTACGCCTGGACAACACGAGAGCCCTTGCTCATGTAAAACACAAAGGGGGAAATGATGCCTGACAAAGAACATCACTCTGACTGACTTTCATGTCCGGGAGCGGACAATATGATACCAGGTCAACAGGCTCGAGTCTTTACGGGCAGGTTATGGAGGCTAGACCCTATGGTGTTTGCCAGGCTGTGCACACAGATGAGTTCCCAGCCCACAGTTACATTGCATGGAAACCTGACTCCAGAGCTCTGATGATAGATGCCTTCCCGGTGCCATGGACGGACGAACGAACTATGCGTTTCCACCCTTTTGTCTATTGGCTCAAGTTCCACGGAAAATGGAAATGGACTGGGCGACTTTAATGATAGTAGCTCCGACATGGCCCACATAGGCCTGGTCTCCAATGCTCCTGCAGTTAGCCATTACACAGCCAATCTTTCTGCCTCAAAAGAATCACATGTTGACACAACCCCACTCCTGCCAGCCACCTCCATTGATACACTCCGTACATCTAGCAGCTTAGATTGTCTCAGGAGACAATATGATATCAAGTAAGCTTTCTTTCCCAAGTCATGTTGGCCAGTTGTAGAGGGTCAACTTACAAGCAGCATCAATCAACCTGGAAGACATGGGATTGCTGATGTCGTGAACGATCGCTTAATCCAGTTTTCAGCACTTGTAAAAGATGTCTCGGAATTCCTAGTGGAATGTGAGAGAAAAGGATTAAGGTATCGATCGCTTGGCGTTTACAGGTCAGCAATTTCACGATACCATGAACAAGTCAGTGGCATTCCGGTGGGACAATGTCTAGCGATCATTCAACTCATGAAAGGTTTTTTAATCGTTACCCTCCTAGACCCAGGTACCTATACTTTCTTGGGGAGGGGACCAGTGCTGGACTTTCTCTCTAGGCTGGGTCCTTGGAGTCCACTTACTTTGAAGATGGCGACGTTGAAAATGGTGCTTTTATTGGCCTTGGTAACGGCAGGTAGAGTGTTTTCTCTTGTTCAGATAGATATCCATTACTAGGTGATCCAGAGTAATTCATTGAAGTTTGTGCATTCTAAATTACAGAAACAAAGCCGACCTGGCCGACCTCTCAAGAGTATTTAGGTTGAGGCCTTGAGAACAAATCTGTGTGTCCAGTGGAAGCAGTGTCATGTTGTATTGATCGATCAGCTCCCCTCAGGAATTGCTAATCACAGCTCGTAGTAAGCCACTTGAAACCTTATAAAAAGGTGGTAGGCCCTATCATCCACAGTAAGCCGAGGGGTGGTTGAGATGTTGCATAAGGCTGGGATGGACACCACCACATTTAGGGCACACTCTACATGGGGTGCAGTGACATCTGCGTCCTAAGGCGTGCCCTTGAAAGTTTTTCTAGATTCAGCAGATTGGGCATCGGATTCTTCTTTCCGCACCTATTATCATTCGCCATCGACAGAATCGTCCACATCCTCCAAGAAGCAGCTTCAAAATCGAAAATTGATTCGAAACCGAAGGAGGCGTAGTGTAATCGTTGACTATGCAAACGTACTTACCTGCAGTATAATCGAGATTATGCAAGCCCTTCGGAGGTGAGAATCAGCTCCCACCCATCAGCTTTTGACTGGTGTTATAGCTGCAGCACCCTAACCCTTGATTCTCCAGATTTGCATATGATTATCGGCTTTGATATAGCCCAAGTTGGGTCAATTCTAGTCCAGAGAGTTTGCTCACCACTGATGATTCTGTTAATTTTTACTTTAACTTTCATCGCTTGATATGCTTGTCAAGTAATTAACGAAATAGTTGTTTATGATAGAAGGAAACTTGTTCTTTGACTTGTTCTAGTTGGAATGTTCTTTACGAAATGTGTTACATGTACTTGTCAGTGATACACTGTTCTAACAGTTGTACCTGTGGAATTTCCCCACCCTATCTTCTCCTCAATGCTTATGCTTATCTACTGTGAAATTCAAGAGTGAAAGACAAGTAGATTGGCCTATTTTGCCTGACTAAAGATGTTCACTTGTTAAAGCAGTGAGCTGCCTTAGGGCGGCGCGGCGTCTATTCACGATGCACCCATATTGGTGAAACGCCATGTTGCGGGATGAACGTTCAGAACCTTCAAAGCTACGAATTTCTCCATTGAGGAAATGTCTCCTTAAACCATTGGACACAGCTTTGCTGCGGCAATCTTACAAATGGTGCATTAATCAACACGTCCATAGCTGCTCATCAATTGTGCACGTCATCTCTGAGTTTTTCCAGCTCCTCTAATTCCGGCCAATTGTGCTGTGGTTTCTTACAGAACTGAGGACTCACAATGGAGGTTTTTTCCGCATGGAAGCTTCTCGACGCACGGACGCTTGTGCTCGGGATCGTGGTGTTTCTTGTCGTGTTTCGATACCTCCGTCGACCACGAAACCGGCCGCCTGGTCCCTGGGGTTTGCCTATTCTTGGCAACCTCCAACTGCTGATGCCAGGGGACACGTTCTTCAGGCGGATTTCTAAACTTACAGGAAAGTAAGTGTTACCGAGTGGTTAAATTTTACCAGCGAGAGGGGTGGTGGATAACCCAAAAATTAAGGAAACAGGGATGTAGAGTAAAGTAATTTTAAAAAACCACCAATTTACGAAAATAGACTGCTGATTTAATTAAAATTGAAAATTAGAAAAATTTCATGTACATTCAGTTATTAATTCAAATTAATCCAAGTTACCTTAACCCCTTTAATGTTCGTGCAATCAAAGGACGGTCAAATCCAATTTGGCCCAACCTGGCATATGTATTTGCTGGCTGGCCACCACGCACAAACTACCTGACTGGCCAAAATTTATCAAACACACAGCAGGCCAGTGGGAAGGCACCACAAAAATCATACGAATGGGTAGTTAAACACTGAAGGTTTAGACCAGACACTTGACAAGCAAAAATGACTACTCAAAATATTGTACCAAATGACATTTGCATAGGAGAGTTAAGCAAAAAAACCTTAAGAAACCCCCCAAAACACCCACAAAATGATGATCAATGTGATGATGGAACCACCTGTATATTAAAATGAAAATACATTTGTATAAGTGACCGAGCATCATATATATTAGAAGTACATGTACAGTTATCTGCATATACAGGATTCATTTACATTTAAGGCATAAAATATGCAAAGCTACACGGCAAGACGCACTACATTGAGAAATGAGCCAATAACTTGCCCCACACAGACAGCGGAACTCTAAATATGCAACAGTTACACAACTCCTGCAAACGCAACACCCAACTTACAATTTGTGCAAAGCAGCGCTGCATTCCTACAGTGCCAGACATTGTGATACATGGCGAGAGAGGGCGCACTTCAACTAATTATAAGGGCACAAGTCTTAAAAAAAAGTGACATTAAATCTGGGACGGTTGACAATGCTTACTTGTCGACTGGTCACATAAGTTTTTGTGTAATAAAAGGACTGGGGTCCAAACCTATGTACAGAAGGCTAGTGAGTGAAGAACTCGCCTCCAACTTGCGTTTGTACGACAGCCCTGGAGTTTTATCAAGTATATTTTTTTTGAAAAAGTGAAGTATATTTTTTCTACGTTTGTTTTGACGAGATACTTTTTTTCTAAAATGTGTTTCAGCGAGATATTTTTTTCCATGTTTGTTTTACGAGATATGTTTTTTGAGATCGTTCGCTGTGATCTATTTTTAGATACATTGTTTCTATTTTTGGAAATTTTTTTCGAAACTAGGGCCAGTGTACTGGACTTCGCGAAAACCCTTCCTATGAACCCCATTTTTCTTATACGGCTCACTCATTCCATTCTGCCATCTATCAAAACGGGCAATTTTCAGTTTGTTTCTGCCCGTGAAATTGTGGTTTCTATTTAGGTCATCTCAACACGGTCATCCGTTTTACTGCGGATCGAGAATCAGTCGCATTTACCACAGCGATTAATTCTTGATCGTTTGACACGTATTCATAGATCAATGACCGAATGGGGTGAGCGAGCAGTACAAGAAAAGTGGGGCTCATAGGAAGCGTTTTGCGAAGTCTCCACTGTTTTGATGGGCCGTCGGAGGACCATGGACACGGAGGTAGTCCAGTAAACGGGCCCCAGTCCAGGGCAAAAAAAAACGTATTACGTAAAATGTCTCGTAAAATCAAAATTTGAAAAAAGATACCTCGTAAAAGCAAATGTATCCAAAAACAGAAACTGTGTTTCAAAAAATAGATCACAGAGAACGATCTCCAAAATAATCTCGTGAAAACAAAGTCGTGAAAATGAATCTCGTGAAAACAAACTTGGAAAAATATACTTCACTTTTTCAAAAAAATACTTGATGGCACTCCGGGGCTTTCGTACGTTTGAGGATTTATTGTGTGGAATTATTACATGATCAATTGTATGTGAGTGCCAACAGTGTGGAAGTATAACGACAATTTTGTTTGGTCGATTTATGTTGTCTCCCAGTTAATGTTGTGACTTTCATCGTGTTGAGAATTAAATTAAAAGCCCACTCGTGTCTATATACATGTAGTCACTGCTTCAAACAACTCCATCCGTATATACATTTAACCCACCCCAGATCACCTTTTAATTGCTAAGCCGTTATACTGGTAACTAATGTACAACTTTTTGTGTCAATATTTTTATGTTATAGATATGGCAAAGTTGTGAGCATCGATATGGGCGGGATACCAATTGTCATCCTACATGGACACGACACGGTCAAGGAAGCCTTCTCGCGGTATCAGCTCAGTGACCGCCCGCATCTTTACATAACTGAGACTATTGTTGCTGGTGTTGGTGAGATTTGATATTTTCTCATAAACTAGGAATGCTCGTGTGGATGTGGGCAGAGCCTTTCAAGTCAATGTGCGATTCAAGCCGTGGAGGCAAACACACGAATAAGTTGATGTAAAATTAGTACATAATTAAGGCTGAAAGAAAAAGGCAGAAGATGCAGGTTCGCCATTTTAATCTACATGCATCCTTATGTTCCCTCTTCAATGTGGATATAGCCCCTTCTTATGTTCATAGTGCAATAACAACTGTTGCTGTCTAGGTTTTACTTACTTTACGAATGTTCCTACTTCGCTTGTATAGACAATGCATGACGCCGTAAAGCTGTTTGGTTACTTTTGTTAAACCATTACTTTACTGAATTCTGTTATGCAGATGGAACTGTAAATTGCCACTTTTCAGGGCGTTTGTCCTTTCATCCCATTCTCCTCCGGCCCACTGTCTTCATATTGTCTCTTTTACAGGCTTTTTGGCTTCAAGTGGTGAGCAGTGGACCGAGATTCGTCGTTTTTCCGTTACCGCTCTCCGGGGGCTTGGTGTTGGCAAGTCGCGGTTTGAAGAGAACATCTCCACCGAAGCAGAAATTCTAGTTGAAGAACTCAAGAAATTTAATGGCAAGGCATTCGACCCAAAGCATCTTATTGGCAATGCTGTATCCAACATCATCTGTTCAGTCGTGTTTGGCAAAAGGTTCCAGTACACTGATCCAGCTTTCAAGCGTCTTCTGAAAGTCTTGAATGATCTTGTTATCCAGTCGCAAGGAGGGGGCATGCTCGAAAACGCACCCGTATTTGCAAAACTGAAAATGCTTCCGGTTGTGCGAAAGTATGTGATTGCCACGGAGAACTTCTTCAATTACATTAACATACTCTTGAAAGAACACAGTAAGGGACAAAGCTCTGATCCTCCTCAAGATTTCATCGACATGTTCCAGGATGAACAGAAGGTGAAGGAACGCCAGGGGGTCAAGTCCCTGGCCTTACTTCCCGAGAACTTGAAGCACATCGTGGGTGACCTGTTTGGTGCTGGGACTGAAACCACTGCCACTACTCTTCGCTGGGGGATGCTGTACATGATGGCACACCCAGAAATACAGAGACGAGTCCAGAAGGAGTTGGATGACATCACAAATCGTAATCGTCTACCAAGAATTTCTGATAAGCCCGAGCTGCCATACACTGAAGCCGTGCTGTGTGAGATTCAGCGCATGGGAACCATCGTGCCGTTGGCTCTGCCACATATGAGCGCCGAAGATACTACTATTGCAGGGTGAGCAATAGTTACCACACCACGCGGTTTATATTACGTCAAGGGATGAAACTAAGGACATCACTGAAGCACAACATACCTTGCAGGGCCTATAATTCCACTGGAGAAACAGACGATATAGACCTTTTTCCTGTGATGTCACAATCGTGCTGGACTATCATGTGTTGTGATGGTAATGAGTGCATAGTGTTGTGATGGTAATGTACCTATTCAAGATAAACTAGTCACGCATGCAGTGTGTGCACGTGGTTGAAACTGCCCGTAGGAATATGTGCGATCACCGTGGCCAAGGTGGTCCACACGTGGTGGTACATGTATTGTTTAGATTTAGCGCAATCCAGTCACGTGGATGAAAAGGTCTATAGGAAAGACACAGTATTTAACGTACCTTATAAGCTAAATCTGTCAATATGCACAGTGAAGCATGTATGTGTGCAGGGTTCATAGACACTCCGTATTCACTGGTATTCTGCACACTTGCATGGTCTAGCCTTGTTAATCTGCAAACTTGTCACAGTGCCGATTTCAGTACCCTTATCATCGGTTTAGTTTGTTCACCCATCTGTGTCAATAACATCACCAATGCAAAGAGGGCATTCTGCCCTTTCTAGAGATACATTTCTCTTTCCCACATATAAAGTAGTTTTGCTATTACAGTAATTTTTATCTCGGTATACTTTTTATGTGGACACCCTGTATATTCCGTTAACAGTTACAACATCCCCAAAGGTACGATTGTGATGTCTAACATCTGGCATAACCACTTTGACCCTACGGTTTGGGAAGAGCCTGGGAAGTTTCGTCCCGAGCGGTTCCTTGATAAAGATGGCAAGTTTCGGTCCCGTGAGGAACTCATACCGTTTGGAATCGGTTCGTAGCCTGTCAGTATTGGTCGACACGTAACTTTGTACTCCTCTAAGGATTTATATCCATAATTTTTTACCTCCATTTATAATTCATATAGTAAACTAAAACTGAATAGAAGGGGATTTGTCATCAAAGTGTGTCTGAAAATATTTGTGAGAAGTAATTTCGTTCTTTGTGTGCACGGACGTCACACATTGTCAAGAAACCCTTCGATTTCAGACCGTCTGCCATACGGTCTCAGTTGTACACAGCTAGGTCTTTTAGCGATTTAGTGCTGATGGTGTAAACCGCAGTCTGATTGCGATTTGACGTCATATCAAAGATGGCGGACGGCAAAGGACTTTGAGATATTTAGGGAGGTAAAGTCTGCAGAGTGAAATGGGTCTTTGATTCCAACGACGAAACATAGAAAACTTTTGTTTGTCAAAATAGACTTGAAGGGAGGGTAAAAATTCAGTTACGATAATGTTCACCATTTCAAACTCCATCGTGATTCATTGTAGCCTATATAGTTTGTCCTTAATTTCATATTCCACGCTTGTAAATCGTTTGTTCATCGGCTTTTTGTGAGGGATTTAAAAAGAAGGGGAAACCAATCTCTTCTTTGGTTCCTTGAAATTCCACTCTGAGAGGTGTATAATACAAATGATATTTTGGACGCATTCTGCATTTTGAGGTTAAATTCTCATTCAAATTTTTGCGGCACTGTAGCCTGCCCGAAATAGAAGGAAACTTTGGAGTGCATAATGGTTGTTGGAGTCAGATGTGTATATAGGCCGAATCCCGTCATACGAAAAACCAACGACAAACGGAAAGATGGCGCGAAATTTGAAAGCAACAAATCTCCTTGAAGTCTGCCTCTAAATGTAACAAAACCTAAAAACCTCTCAAAATTGACTGCTCCCTGCAATTTCTGCATTGTACAGGTCGACGCGTCTGTTTGGGTGAGCACCTTGCCAAGATGGAGCTCTTCATCTTCTTCACACACCTCCTGCATCACTTCACCCTCAAGAAACCTGACCATGTTCCTACCGTGTCCTTTGAAGGAGAAGAGGGTCAGGTTTGGTCACCGGCAAGCTTCGAGATCTGCGCGATTTTCAGAGAGTAAAACAGCCCAATAGAATATTTAATCATATTTTGGTTGAGTCTACCTTCTAGAACATGCTCTTGCCTGTAAGAATGGGGCCATCCATCTAACAAGTAATTTTAATGCCGGTGTTTGGTTTAGCTTTTGCTCGAGTCGTTATATCGATACTGAAATACTTATATTGCAATAGTAATGCTTGGCTGTGTTGCATTAAACGCTGTATGTGTGTACCATGTATGCCAGATCATTGTGCTCGGTTCAATCACACGAACCTTATAATATAAGTGAAGCTTTTTAAAAGGAAAGCCCAAAGGGTAGGTCGTAAAGACTTGAACCTGGCTTCTCTATATTTTGCAGCAGCTGCTTTAAATGAAGTCATTTTAAAGCTTCAACATGAACATGAAGAACAAGGAACACATGTACGCTATAGGACACAATTTCGTTTCGTTACGAAAACGGTCGATGAGTTGTGTTTTAGAGAGTTAGTTCTAGAATCTTAAAATTACTCTGTAAAATCCTATAGTGATGACCTTAGGAAATCTATATATTTTAGAGCTCTGCAATGGAGATTCGGGTCAAATTTCTCCCTTTCCATCGCGCACTGTGCGCTAAAAACCGTTTTGCGCGTCGGTTGTTATGGTGCTTCCTTTTGCACCGACGTTCGTTCGTTTGATACCCGTGTAGAGTCACGTACATCAACTGACAGTGATTTCAAGATACACTGACACTATACTGCGTTGTAAGAGGCATAGTTAATGCCTTTTTTTCGAGGAATTGCCACATTGAAACAAGAAAACTGTCGTACCGTAACATTTCAAAATAAAGTGCTTTACAACCCTGGTGTCAACCGCGTGGTGATGATAGTCTCCTCATATCCCCAAATGGTCGACGTCTGAGCCTTTTTTCCCCAGTGGACAACTCGCCCCAGGCATACACCACAAGCCTAGCCTGTAGACTCCCACTGGCCAGACCCCAACCACTGCATAGTGAAGAGTGTTGAAAACTTGGCATCCCCCAGACGCCCATTTCAGAGGGATTTCACGTGGAGGGATCCCAATATTACGCGTTTAGCGTCGATCAGCGCACTTTCGCGTTTGAAAACGAGGCTGTATGTGTCAGCTTCAATTCTTGATACGATCAGACGATTGAAAGTAAGGAGTAAAGACACAAAATACATAAAAGTTTGTT